ATTGGGAGTCGAGCGCCTTATCCACCTGGCCATGCCGGGCACTTGACGTTATGTGAATCAGTTGCTTGCCAATTTATTTTTTATTTTTTTTGTCTTATACATTTATCGGAATTTATACAGATATTTTGAAAGTTCTAATAATTGTTAGAGCTCGTGGCTAATAAATTTGTAAACATAAAGGATAGAAACACTTTAGAAATCTCTTGTCAACTATACAATTACCATTATTAATGTGATATTGAAATAAAGTAGCTACACTTCTGAAGTTTGAAAGTTTAACATTTTCGTAAAACCTGTCGTGCATTTTATAAATTAATTTTATAATTTTTATTGTTGTTGTCGTTGCTAAGTAACGATTAGATGTTTGGTTTAGCGCAAAGCTACACGATGGCCTATCTGCGCTCTGTCTCCCACAGAGAATCGAACCCCGATCTTAGCGTTACATGTTCGTAAACTTGTAGCTGACCCCCTAAGGAACAACAATAGGTGAAAATTTTAGAATATTACCTGCATTATATGTTTTACTTGTCCTCTCAGTCCCCCATGTTGCTCAGCGGTGATTTGCTAAAAATCGGGTTTCGATACCCGTGGCGGGCAGAGTACATACATCCTATTGTGTAGCTTTGTTCTTAGCATCAACCAATCCCCCCCCCCCCAGTGGCTCAACGAAGTCCGAAGATTTATGACGCTAAATACCGGGTTTCTTCGATACCCGTGGTGGGCACAGCATAGATAACCCACTCTAGCTTTGTGATTAACTACTAACAGCCAAACGTTATACAGCCCACCAAAGTCTTTATGGTAATTATCAAGTAGGATCTATTCTGCTCCTGGAGGTTCGATACAAATTTCAGGAAATATTATATACATATATATTTCTATTTAGTTTAACTGCGTTAGTGAAATCTCATAATTCAAACACCCAAGAGTTAGCGGTGAGTGCTTTTGATTAGCTGTCTTTCCTCTAGTCTATCAATTTAAATTTATGGACTACCTTGTGCTAATAGCCCTTTGTGTAAAAAAAAAAACTAAACAAACAAATGTGCTTGTCAGTTTCAGTATGACCACGTGACGAACATGTTTCGTGGTAATTTATACTAGCAGACACACGCAAAATATTTGTGGTCAAACTAGTATATTTAATCTTTATTACAGCAGCATTTCTTTAAATACAGGATTTCTAGAAGAATACAAAACAATTATAATCGCAGACACCGAAATCTAGAAGTCCACTTGTCTTAGGCCTAACATTAGTTAAGCCTTTATTAAGTACATATTTAATCTTTATTACAGCAGCACTTCTTTAAATACAGGATTTTTAGAAGAATACAAAATAATTATAATCGCAAACACCGAAATCTAGAAGTAATGTTAGGCCTAAGACAAGTGGAGTTAAGCCTTTATTAAGTACGGCCTATATTCCATAAAGACATAAATTAACACTAATTTTTTATTATGTTTGTTAACGAAAATACAAACAAACTGAAGCAAAGGGAAGAACACTGATGTCAAACAAATATGCATCTTCATTCATCCTGATATTTTTGAGAAATCTACGTCTATTAATCTCAAAACTACGTGTTGTAGTCTTTCTTTTATATATTGCTTTATGACATTTTGTGAAAAATCTGTACGTGATGGAGAAAAATTGATATCATTTTCGGATTCAGAGTACAGGAATTACTATAGAACATGTAAAAATGTCAAGACAATAAAACCATCGAAAGCCTGTGTTATCATAACACGTTTCCCACTTTTCAGAAAATACATGGTTGTTCCTCTTATCTATCCTACTAACGTTAAAACTGAACAACAATAGTTCTCTTTTTGTTTTGTTAATTCAGGGCATGTTAAAATTCTGTCTTTTATGTGTGTTCTTTATTTTCAGTAAAACTAACTCTTTCTGTCATACATTTCGGCGAAATACCAGCAAATATAGACGTAGAAAAGCACAAAGCAAATGCCATACTTGGGACAAACCCACATTAGATCTGGAGCTAAAGCCCTGATAAAACGAATCAGGGCTTTAAGCAAACCCTAGCATTTGCAGATGCAGTCCTGAGGTTAAACATAATTCATAATTTAAGGCGCAAAACTTGCTGATAAACGTAAACTAAAACTAAGAAGAATCAACTTTAAAGTATCAGATGCAGTCCTGAGGTTAAGTATAAGTCGTAACCTAATCGATAGAAATTAAAGACATTCCGAAAAGATGCAAAACCTACGTGAATGTGCAAGCGAATGTTAAATAAGTAGTGAATGAAAACCTATGTTAACATACAAAAAACCTAGAAGATTAACTCAAAATAAAAAAAACTTAATCAGATTAGAACTGATGAGTAAATAAAAAATATAAACATTGTGTATAATTATTGACATAATTAAAAGAAAGCATACTTAATTATGCAATAAAAAATTAGTTCTCGTCCTAAGGTTGAAAAATATCCAAGAGCTAAATATTGAACTTAATGACCTTAAAAAACAAAAAACAAGTCATGTTGCATCAAGGTATTAAGAAGAAAAGGTAATATAATGAGACACAAGAAGTACCTGACTCACTCTCTAAGACTCCACAATTGTCTTCGTCGTCAAAACATCCAGATCCTGCTCCAGAAAACACAAGGTCGTCACCGCTGTGAGGAAATCTGGACAAAGGCTGTTGGGATCAGAAATCTAAACATAAGTTTATGGTAGCGGGTCCAGATGCGTGCCGAATTTAAAGTTTCTTAAAGATATTTTAAAAGTGTTTGTGTGTGTATAAAATATTATATTTACACACACACACACATTTTTTTGCCCTACAATGGGACAGCGGTAAGTCTACTGATTTACAACGCTAAAATCCGGGATTGAATTCCTCACGGTGGACACAGCAGATAGCCTAATGTGGTTTTGTTCTCAAACAAACAAAATATAATACACTCTCACACACATGTATCGTTGAATCTCTTCTATACTTATACTAAAAAAGCCACTTATTTCAGAATGTGACTATTAGGGCACTCAAAACACTAGCAGCCATGTTAGCGTGAGTTGCATTACAGCTTATCAAGTCAAGCATGATAAAATCGTGTAGATGGGATAAATCAATATCAAATAGTGCAAAGAGTCAAAACACGTTAAGTAAATTTTGAGACACTTTGGGCCTTCTACAAAACCTAGACAATTTTAGTGTAAAACAATTATAACTAGGGCCGAGGCTGGTGGAATTGCTGGGGTAGGCCTTGCACTGCACCCCCAAGTTCATTTTCCGTAAGGCCCAGAATGGCCAGGTGGTTAGGTAGCTTGACTCGCAATCTGAGGATCGCGGGTTGGAATCCCCGTCCCACCAAACATGCTCGCCCTTTCAGCCGTGAGGGTGTTATAATGTTACGGTGAATCCCACTATTCGTTGGTAAAAGAGTAGCCCAAGAGTTGGCGGTGGATGGTGATGATTAGTTGCCTTCTCTCTAGTCTTGCACTGCTAAATTAGGCACGGCTAGCGCAGATAGCTTTGCGCGAAATTCAAAAACCAAACCAATCATTTTCCCTAGCGGTTTATATAAAATCATATTGTCAACTTAAAAAAATCGTATCACTGTATGACGGCCCCTACAGAAGCTACAGTACCCCCCCTCCCCTCAAGGGAGAGGAAATGGACTCTGTCCTGATTATAAGATAATAAAGAAAAAACACACTTTCTTCTGACATCTGTGTTATTTTTCACATTTTTATGCCATTTTTCATACGTGATTTTTTATCATGTTTTCAATAAAATCCGTTCTTTCTCGAACAGTTGTTGTCAAGTCTAAATTGTTCCAACAAATCTAAAGTAAGTTGCCCTAATTATAAAAATTCAACTGGCCTAACCACCTTCAGTAGTTCATTGAAAGTTTCTGTGATCTGTCATAAATAAGTCTGATTACATATTTAGAAATTCCTTCCACCTGATCGTATTAGTGAAATATCTTACGTAGTTGATGTTTGAATGTGGAACGTGACGTTTTCACAATGTGATTTCTCAACTTTCAGCGTTTTTTTTTTGTCGTTGTTGTTGAATTGCGCGTAAAAGCTACTCGAGGGCTATCTGCGCTAACCGTCTGGAAGTGATAAATTAAAGGAAAAGCGGCTAGTCGTCACCATCCACCACCAACTATTGGGCTACTCTTTTACCTACGAAGAATGGGATTCGCCACGATATTATAACGTCCCCACGGCTGAAAGTGCGAGCATGCTTGGTGATAGGACTCGACCCTGCGATTCGCAGATTTTGATTCAAGCGCCCTAATCACCAAGCCATACCAAGCCCCTTTAGAAATTATTCTAAGGGGTGCCTGGCAGAAAAACAAGTAAAAGAGGGAAACAGGCATTATGGATAACTAAATTTACGTGTTTTACTTAAGGGGTGCCTGGCAGAAAAACAAGTAAAAGAGGGAAACAGGCATTATGGATAACTAAATTTACGTGTTTTACTCATTTCTCACAAAATAGTATGGTTTCCTTGTTTTTTAAATTTACATCGGCCACCTGCGTTGACAGTAGACTTGACGAACGAAGCACAAATATGGTAGGTATTCCAAGAATTTATGTGTGAAAACAAATAAGAACATGTAACTATATGTCAACAACAATACATCTGCCATTTCCAGTGTCGACGAGGTCTAGGTGCTGTTTATATCATCAATTTTCATGAACAGCGACTGTTATGGTGTGAACTGGATTAAGTAAGTGAGTTATAATTATCATAAATTTTATTCAAGTTCTCTACAAGTCAGAATTATGGTAAGGATTAATAACTCGGCGGATATTTCCGTTCAAATAACACTCCCATTAGGCTAATCCTGTCCCACGAGCACAGTGATCCGTACTTGGTGTTTCAAACTGTAGTATAAAATAAGTATTATTGTCAGCGGTACAACTAACGGGTATAGATTATTTCTATTCATGGGTACAAACAACTAACACAGGTTGTTTGTCAGGGATACAAATAACAAGTAAAGGTTCTTGTTTGGCGGGGTAGAAGCATTAATTAAAGTTGTTTCTTCTTATAGTTACTTTGTTTGAAGTTAAGCACAAAATTACACAATGGACTATCTGTGCTCTGCCCACCACGGGTATCGAAACCAAGTTTCTAGCGTTGTAAGTCCGCAGATATACCGCTGTGTCACTGGGGGGAGGGGGCTTTACAGTTACTAGCGCTGTCAAAGGTACAGAAGCATTAATTAATACATATTGTTGTTGTCGCAAGTACAAACGTGTTGTATAAGTTTGACTTTGTCATGGGTTCAAGCGTGGAATTCGGGTTCCTATTTGTCATGGGTGGAAGCATCAACTATAAGTTATTTTTTTATTACCAAATAAGGGTACTTCGTTGTCACGTGAGGTACAGGTTTGTTCTTATTATGGGCACGTGTATGATGTTGGTTCTTCTTTGTCACGGATACTAGGTTGAAGTACATATTGTTTGATATGGGTTAGAAACATCAAGTACTGGTTCTCTTTGTTTCAAGTTCAAGCAGGATGTACACGTTTCTCTTTGTTATTTGCACAAACGCGATATATAGGATTGTCTTTGTCAAGAGTTAAAGCATCAAGTACAGATTCTCCTTTACAATCGGCGAAAAAAAAAATGATGTACAGGTTTGTCTTCGTCATGGATGCGAGTATATGGGTAGTTAAGTTATGTTTTTATCTGCTAGTTCATCAAAACAAGTAAGTAGCTTAGTTACGTAAATATCTCTTTAATTAATTAACACAAGTTCTACAACGTAGTCTAGTTACATCTTTGAATATCTACTAGCCAATTAAAAGTTTACTAGTTTGTTGACCTAAGTAGCGTCTTCTTACCTGATGCATCTGTGAACTTAAGGTCCGGATCTGATCGAAATCGTACGGAATAGTTACGAGTAATTCGACGTCACCCTTCACGGTGACTCTAGGATCACCTTCAGAAGCCATGTCTAGTAGTCTGTCTCCATTAAACACCAGCCCGGCGATTATTCCATGGAACGGTTTCTCTATGCGTCCACTCATCTCGACCTTTTTACCGCCAATTTGAATTTTTGAATGGCTGTTAAAAATTGTAAGCTGTTTTCCTGAAAATTAGTTCATTTTGATATGTTAATACCTGTTGGAGGGTACTGTCTCAGAGTACAATGACTGTTACGATACGTTCTATGTTTCTACATTATATGTTTTTGTTTACGAACATGTAGGGTAGACCCTGGAGAAAAAGGTGATATTTGAACGTAATAAGTGTGTGTTCAGGAAATTTACGTCTGCAAAACAATAAAAGATAACCTCTTGAAATACAAAAATCATCACCACAAACAGGAAAACAAGAAATTACATGAATCTGATATAAAAATCAAATGAACATATAGTTAAGTTTGCTAGTATTAAATTCACAAGATATGCGATATAGGAACACTACAGCGTTTCATAACGACCACCTTCCTTACATATATATATATATATATATATATAACTGATGATTTTCAAAGGGCCTTCTTTGAATCTTCCCGTAAATAATACCCAAAGGTTTACACAGAAGTATGTTACTTTGACAGAAAGGTGTGGTGAAGAAAATGAAATGTTACAATATAAACGTCTTATTTTTTATTCAGTCTCTTCTCATTTCAACGTAACGATTTGCAGGATAAACTCAATGTCATTTTATGTTTGCTATCGAGTTTCATATACGAAAAGAAAAAAAAAAGAGTAATATGTTTGTTTCTCACAAGGGAAAACTAGAAGGAAAGGCGCGGAAATCATAATTCATCATTTTATCTCCATCACGGAATATGATCCTGATTGTACAAAATTATAAAATCCAACGCAAAGCTTAATAGTTTTGAATAAAGAAAATTGATATCAAATCCAATTAAGAATGAAAGCTGGATTTGCTTTTAACTGTACTTTTCCCCCCACTTCAACTCAATAAACGTTAATTTAAGGGCTTGTGCTGATTTGTTTGAAAACTATACAGAATATTTAAAATCACATATGAATGACGCATTAATGTAACACACACACAAATGTGGATTTTGCTCACCGTTTGGATACTTCGTGACAACGTTATGATCGTCTAGTTGAATTGTGGAGTTTGGCCCAGAGCGAGTAAATCGTATCAGGTGGTATTGCCCGTCGTCTACTCTCGCACTCAGTTCCCCAATCGGATGATCCAAGGTGCCGAGATTATACACAACAAAGATATTTCCTTCCATCTGTTAAAATAATCAAGCTTTCAGACGAAATTTACGGACACATTTAGCTAATGTACGTAAAAGGATTTTGTGAATAGATAAAAAAAAAGTAAGCATTTACATTTGTATGTATGTGTGGGTATATTGAAAAACTAGAAGTTGCCGGAATTGTACTGATGAAAGCGATAGGTATTTGAATTCCATTCTAATGGTTTACCTTTTGTCCATTCATTGAAAGAAAGATCAACGTCTTATAACACTAGAGTTCTGGGTTCGTTTCCCTTTGCAGACACAGCGCAGATAGCCCACCATGTTACTTTGGGCTCAAAAGAAATAACAACAACAAAAAACAAAAAAACAAAAACGATTTGAGTCAAACTGTGAGAAAGCACTAAGCAGTAGCATTTAGGGTCAATTACAATACTACTTACCCGTACACTGTACCTTGATTATACTAACTACTTACCTGTAGACTGTACGTCTATTATACTAACTACTTACCCGTACATTGTACGTCAATTATATTACCTACTTACCCGTATACTGTACGTCGATTATACTAACTACTTACCCGTACACAGTACGTTGATTATATCAACTACTTACCCGTATACTGTACGTCGATTATACTAACTACTTACCTGTAGACTGTACGTCTATTATACTAACTACTTACCCGTACATTGTACGTCAATTATATTACCTACTTACCCGTATACTGTACGTCGATTATACTAACTACTTACCCGTACACAGTACGTTGATTATATCAACTACTTACCTGTATACTGTACGTCGATTATACTAACTACTTGCCCGTATACTGTACGTCGATTATATTAACTACTTACCCGTATACTGTACTTCGATTATACTAATAAAGACGTTGTAATGAGGTCCTATAGTTAGGTATGTAAATTACTACAAGAGAGTCATACAGAAAAGAAACAATTGAGTTACCACGCAACAGTAAAAAATTAAGTAAGTTACCACAGTAAAAAAAAAGGAGCTAAAAGAATAAATGCTCGTATCTATCTGTATATTTAGTTATCATTCTCCTGAAATTATTAATGGATGTCTAACAAAAAGAAAAATCAGTCAGTAGAGATAAAATGTTTAAAACTCAACAGTTTAAAACCTACGATTTCAACTTGTAAGTAGTCGTTACTAGTGCCACTATCAATTCGAACTAAAATAGCATTATCGCTGACTGTGATGAACCCAAGTGCCAAGAGATCTGTTTTAGTGTCTGGACTTCTGTTAGGGGAGTGATTGAAGGTGATAATTCCGGAGCCGCTACCGAACTTGTAGCCTATACTCTCTGGAAAAAACAAACAAAAAGGCACTAAATAGCCACCACGACAATGTATGTAAAGTTTGGTTTAACACTAAATAAGTGAATACATACGTCGGTTTCCATAGAAACTTATTGAGACATATTAAATCATAAAAATGTAATTTCATTACACACAAGTTCGTGTATTTTTTTTAAAAATACAGTTTTACATTTAACAACTAAATTTACATACTTTTATTTATTTTTTGGAAATTTGCACAGATGTCAACATGTCTATTATTATTATTATGTTGTTGTTGTCTACACAGATCTATATTTTTCTCAATTAGTCGGTTCGCTCAGAACTTTTAATGAGTCTTTATTTTAATATAAAAATAATATATTTAACAGTTTTTACCTTGACATATAGTGATATTTGTCATTTTTTATAACATATTAGATTATTGCAAGAATAATTCCGGTCGTGTTTATTACCATTAAATATTATGCATTATTCAACTGCAAGCCCATATTGTTATACTCATATTGCAGGACGATTCTTCATATTTTCTTACAGATCTAATTTAAAGTTGTAGGGTATATAAATAGAGTAGCCACGTACGAAAGTTTGAGTTGTCTAGAGTTACGATGAACGGGCAGATGTACAAACCCTTCTCTTCGCCCCCCATTAGCACAGCGGTATGTCTACGGACTTACAACCCTAGAAACCGGGTTTCGATATCCGTGGTGGGCAGAGCACAGATAGCCCATTGTGTAGCTTTGTGCTTAACGTCAAACAAACCCTTCTCCTCCTCTTCTTCGGGATTCGGTCCATTTTTTGGATCAGGGATGGTCAGATTCTGCGTAAACCTCTTCCTCCCTCTCTGGAATTTGTTATTTTGTTTGCACTGTTACTGAATCCTAGGTAATAACTCATGTTACGTTGTTACATTACTAACATACTGTGAGTAATGTTACGTTGTTACATTACTCATAGTATGCTAAATTTTGTCCATTGTCCGCAGTTTTAATTAACATACCCTTTTCGTGCCATGTCCAAGTCATGGGGTAATATTAACTCGTATATTTTCACTAGCTTCACTTATGTATGATCGCACTATTAGTCCGTGCTTACAATACAGTTCCACTTAGCAATCATATATATATATATATATACATAATCCTATTTTTACATACAAATCCCTTTAAAATATACCTTCGTTTGTGTCTAGGATTCAATTAGCCTATTACTGTTTGACCTGTAAGATTCTTATTTATGATGTTTAGAGGGGAGAGGTACTTAGGTCTTGGTTCATCATGTATTATGTAACTCTCTAGTTTGCTCATCAGTTAATGTTTATTAATATTTTTCTTATAATATTAAAGCGAGTTATCCAGGAGTCTGTCTGATAGAGTTGACATGTTTGAATAGTTGTGTATAAAATCGTACAAACTCTTGGAGACAAATTACATGGAGTTTAAAAATGCTCTATGTATGACGTATACGGAGGTGTAGATCTGATTAAGTACTGACAATCTGTAATCGTACAGTTGTATACTTGGTACAAAATGGTAGGGGAACGAGCTTGAAGTTAACATTCATAAATGATACACTAAGTTATCTTACCATCTGAACAGGTGGGGCCAGTGAATGACGTCATGTCACAATCACATGTATAGCCATTCCATAACTGAACACATACTCCTTTGTTGGCACATGCACTGTTGCTACATTTGGTATCGGCCCCTGAAAATATATAGATTATTTCATTAATTACTCGTACGTGAGAACAAGATGGGCGTGTTTTCGCGCCACGTGGATAAAGTGCTTCCGTAGACCGCTAATTGTGAAGTTACATTTGCGCTTGTTTGAAATTCTATTTTAAAAAACAACAACAACAACGAGATGACGTACTGGTGTGTATTACACAGTCATAATAGTAACCGTTAGAGTTAATACTATATAACCATTTAGTGATTGCATTTAAAAAGAAAACTGGAGCTCTTCACCAGATTAAAGTACGCCTTTATTTAATTGAAACTTTTTATCCTTATACTAAAGTTGTCATTTCCTAGTGAAATTATAGCTCTGACTACAGAATCTCTAAAACTTTACGTTGAAATTTTAGTTTGTATCTGGGGAGTATCTCATAGTTCAAGTTAAAACATGAATTCGTTTTTGTTTTTTTTTATACAGTGTCTCATAAAATCTATAACTGTAGGATGAAATTCGTTATCGAAAAAATTCACTATACACTGTTTTGAACTAACTTATAACTCATATATTTCTAAACATCCAGGGAAATACAAATACCATGGAATTTTTAAAGATAACACTAAAAAACTAATAACAGTGCTAATTCACTAATTTCATAAAGTCGAAAGTAGATGGTAATCGTGTTGAATAAACAGCATAGATATAGGTTTAACTTGATTTGTAGTTACCACAAAAATCAAGCACGTCAGACATGCTTTCAGACTGCGTTTGCCACCACAATATTATCATGATTTTATTAAACTGACAAAATAAAAACACAAAAGGTCAACTAATCTATTACAATAATACTCAGTTTTTGTCTGGCCTGAAAATGCGCACGCATCTTGCTATCTAAATGCGCATGCCTGCGCACTTCATTTCAACGGATCGGATGTAAACAAAAGGCGGATGGATGTAAATATACTTTAGTAGACATTTTTTACAACAACAAATGAAAAGCTTATCAAAGTTTTTAAAAAGGTCTAGCGTTGAGTCTTAGAATAATATTATAAGTTTATTTATTGATAGTATTAAGAACGGTAAAGTTTAGCCCTAACTAAACTAAAGCAAAAAACGTACATAAGTTACTTCATTGTGGTAAACGAAATAATAATTTGATCTAAATAATAGTTTTTGAAAACAACTTTTATGCTGTTAAATGTGTTATGAATCAAACTGATTGGAAGAAAAACATTATTTGCTTACTAATAATATTTATAAGTTTTATGCATTTTACATCTCTAAAAACGACTTATATTATGATAATTTACATAAATTCCGTAAATGACAGAAGGCTGATACTTAGTTACAGTGTTTCTGCTTTATTGGTATATGAAGATTACTTTACAAACTTGATGTAGAAGAAACAATCACAAAGGTTCAAGTTTCTTCCCTTAGAAGTAGCTGTCATTTATATTTTCTAAGTTAGTTTTTATACAATGCTGCTACGCTTTCAGAAGATTGTTTCTATCTTTCAAACTAACTTAATAATTACATTATGTAAATAAATAAACCGTTGTCACTGGAGGCCACATACACTCTATTGTGAATGGGGATAAACATATGAGGAAAAGGATTTTTAACGAAAGTTTAAATAAACTGCACATGAAAAGGTCATAGAAGAAGGTAGCGTTAGGTTTAGAAACACACAAATCACACTACTTTCTTCCATAACATCTTCATCTGTGACCATTCTTAGTGCACGTGGCTGAGCCTCAACATCAGTTTAATTCAAATGATTTCCAGAGGGTGTTCTATAAGTACTCAGCTAATGATTAAAGTAGACAGGCATTAGAATACAAGAAACATTGGAACCCAAAGACAAATAGGATCAGCTCGACATATCAGAATTAATGAGAGCATCCATATGTAACATATTCGTATCTACATGTTTACGTGATTAATTCCTCTGTAAATTTTATGCCTCGTTATTGTAATTCCTCTCTAAAATTTCCACGTTTATTACAGAGTTCAGAGGGTGTACAAGAACTCTAAATCTTCCAAATTTTAAAATTACTCACCTCTTTCAATTTCTTTATCTTGTTTCACTACTTTTAATTCAGTTCCATTATTTATTCACATGAAATTATAATTCCGAAAAGTTTCATCATAACTATTGTGAAAAGTCATATTTATCAGGCCTAAAAATTCTAATGATCTTTCTTTAACAGTTTTCTTGGAAATGACCATATCAATACTTTTGTATGTATAAAATGTCATTATGTGTGTTGAGCACATTATGTCATGCAATAAGAGAAATGACTTGTTGCACAAGGCGTGTCCCAAAGACTAGCGGTAGGTACGTTGTAAGTGCAATAATCAGTCGTGTTCTTTGGTAAAGAGTTGCCATATATGTGACAGCTTCAGACGAGAGACTTTACACCCTCACGTCAGCAGTTCTAAATTAGGGTTACTGCTCAAGTTGAAACATACAATACTAAATATTAATATTTATACCATTATACCATTGAATAGTTATTAATCCGAACTTTCAATAAAAAAATAGGTTAGGATTAACTTTTATTACAAAATTAACCGTAAAATGAGAACACAATATAAAATATCTTTGTCTGCTCTTGCCAGACCCAGTCTGGAAAGTTGGGTCAGTTGGTATGTCTGTTCTAAAGAAAAGAACAAGGAGAAAATTTTGTATTGTTTGTTTGTTGTCCCTCGATACTTTCTTGTGTTTTTAATCGTATTCTATCTGTACATATCAGGTATGTGTGCGTTTCCTTATCTAACAAGTACACACACCTTTGAGTGTACTATAGGATTTTCGCCTCCAGCTGTAAAACCCTGCTTGGCATGGATCGTAAACCAGATACTCAAAGAACTATGCAATATTGGGATCCTAATTAATTTCGTGTCTGGCTTCATGTGTATTTTACCAATAATATGACTGTTTGGGACAAAGGTTAATATTCGGAAGTAAAAGAGCATTGGCCAATTTGCACTATTACGTAAAACTGATCTATAGTTAAGTAAAAAAAAAAATGTTTTTTTAAAATAACAAATACGTTTCGTGACATATCTATCGTTGAATATTAAAGCTAGAGACTTACTGTTGCATGTTATCTAATGGAGGAAATCCTGACGTTCGTCCATTTGTAACTCTGTAGTATTATGTGATAAAATGAGTGTAATATTTTGCTCTATAATTTGTCTTAAGAAAATGTATACGTTGAGAATTATAAGAATTCTCTGTAATAATATTAAAAATCTATCTTCCATATGATGTTTAGTCTGTAAACTTTGGAGTATTTATTTGTTATAAGCGCGTATATATTCGTTCATCAAAAACCCTCTAGTTATGTCTGTTTTTACTTATAATTGACAGGAATCATACACTCCTTCTTTTATATGCACGTGGCCTGTAAGAAGATTGTGACGAAAAGTTGTAGTGGTTTTTGCTGTTTAACAGTGACGCTATCGAAGGCTGTCATTTATTAACAAATAATCAACTGCTTCAGGTTTAATGCTTTCATTACCAGCTTTTGAGGTGATCCAGTTACCATCCCAGTGGTGTGACTTATCTATGAACTGCCTTAATGAAAAGAGATCTAAAGATTTACAGATAGAATCAATCATGAAAAAACAATGTTTTATTTAAACGACTGTGTGAGGAACTTTCGAATGTAACCATACTTATTTCTACTTACTTAAAAATGACAACTATCACACCAGTTAAATTTTGGCTGTATTTCATAAGTGTTTGAGTGGCCAAAAAACATTAATCAAAAGATAAAAAGTTTAGATAGATAGGTTTCAGTAAAGTTAGTTCGCTTTGATATAATTTTTTCTGACAATCCAGCAGTGACAACAGGTACGTACAGATAAATCCTTTTACAGTTTAATTTGATATCTATCTGTACGTACCTGTTGTCACTGCTGGATTATCAGGAAAAATTATCCTTTTACAGTTTACTTTGATATCTATCTGTACGTACCTGTTGTCACTGCTGGATTATCAGGAAAAATTATCCTTTTACAGTTTACTTTGATATTTATCTGTACGTACCTGTTGTCACTGCTGGATTGTCAGGAAAAATTATCCTTTTACAGTTTACTTTATTTATCTGTACATACCTGTTGTCACTGCTGGATTGTCAGGAAAAAATATACTTTTACAGTTTACTTTGATATCTATCTGTACGTACCTGTTGTCACTGCTGGATTATCAGGAAAATATTCTGTTATATTTCCTTTAATTAGTTGGTTTATATTTTTGAAATAATTCTGAAATCTAAAATCATGACATCGAGCTATGTACGTAAGAGCTGTGAATTATTATACTGTATAGCTAAAAAGTTAGATTTTTATAACTATAAAGTTTTATAAAAAGATTTGTATTATGATTAAAAAACGTTTTGTTTCCATTAAAATCCCCAAAAAATTGATGTAAATATATATCAGTCATTCACTGAATCGTCATGATATTACATTTTGAAACTTGTCTTATTATCATTATTTTTTTTCAGACATTATTATTATTTAATCTGTAGGTAATAGAGCTCATACTGCAGATATTGGACTACACCTTCCAAAGTATTGTAGGAAAGACCGTCATCAGTATAAATCAAGTGATAAGGAGAACAACCGTGGAGAAGATGGCGCTAGTGGTTCTGCTGATGATGTACACCAACCAGGTAGGAGTGAACCAAGTCATTATTTAATACATTTGAAATGGTATATATGATCGGTATTTAATATCCTAGCTAAAGGTGATTCATAAGCTTTATACGTTTATATCCTTCAAATTCGAAACACTTTCCACTTCAACAGGTATATTACACCTACTTTGATATTTATTTTTTCCAAAGACTTGTTTTCATGTGCTTAAAATCTACATTCTAAAGCCCAAAACACTTAATAGTAGCAAATAATTTTGTGCCTCGTGCCACTCTTTTCCTTGCTAGCCTAGTTTCAGTGTAACATGTTATTTACTGCCTGACGAAGGGAATATGCCCGAAACGTTGCACAAAATAAAGCAGAATAGTTTATACTTAAACGTGTTAATTTATCCTTTATTGTCGTTTATCCGAATTATTAGTGTAAATATTCAGATTTGAAAAATCTAAACTATTTGTATTTTTATTTATGTTCTTTTAGTACCGAAACTTAGTCGCTCCCCCACTGGCACAGCGGTAAGTCTGCAAACTTATAACTCTAAAAACCGGGTTTCGATACCTGTAGTGGGCACACAACAGATGGCCCATTGCGTAGCTTTGTTGTTAATTACAAACAAGCGAATGAAACCTAGTGAAGTTTATATATATTTTTCATATGAATATTGTAGGTAAAGCTACACGTTACTTATTTAATTGTTTTTTCTTCTATTTGTATAAGAAAACAAAAATAATAAACATTACACAAAAAGTAGTCTTTTGATAACTTTAAGTTCAGACCTTAGATCTATGATAATCTTATAATTTTTGGTGCTTGCTTTCTAAACTATTAAATTTGAGGTAGTTCTCCTATTGAGACGGAGGAAAGAGATCTCAAGAATTTAAAGCTTCACACGAAATGTTTTGCAAAAGTGAGGAGCGTGCAGCATTGTTCTTGGTGCCAGAAATTGAGCACAATTACCACAAACTTTTGATATGGCTTTTAGATTTCTATAAATCAGTGAAGAATGCGAAAAGGTGAGAAACTGGAGGTAGCCCTACTCCCTTACCTTTACATTGGGTAAACCCTACTCCCTTACCTTTACATTGGGTAAGCCCTACTCCCTTACCTTTACATTGGGTAAGCCCTACTCCCTTACCTTTACATTGGGTAAGCCCTACTCTCTTACCTTTACATTGGGTAAGCCCTACTCTCTTACCTTTATATTGGGTAAGCCCT